GAAGTTATTTTCTTTCATTACAAAAATGTATAGTTTCTTGTCATTTGTCCAGACTCTGCCATATTTGTGATAAGCGCTCCCTCTAATGGACAGTCCCAGGATTGACTCCGATGTTATGAATGAAAATGTCAGTGTCAATCATTTGCTCTGTTTGTCCAATTGAAATCATTTACGCACTCATTTAAGACTTAATTGTAAGACAATTGTAAACAGTTAGTTATCATTGGGTTTACACAGATCTGTATCCTGCCAGCCTGATATGCTGATATGAGCATATGCGAGTTGCCATCTTTGTTTTACAAAATAAATGTTACATCTTTTATTGCACAAGATATGTGCACTTTTCTCTGCAGGGTTCTGTTCATAAATGCAACTTCTTTTATTTTTTTTTTATAAGAATATACCTTTGCTTATTTATTCTTCCCTTTTATATAGGTGTGCAGATCATCCACCACTTAAAATGGGACTTAGTAATCTATTCTTTGTTTTACATCAAAGGTTTTTTTCCCTCTCTCCCTTTAGACTAGAAAGGGCTGTAATATTATGGATCTACCTTGCCCTGAGGTCAAGGGTTATGTGTATTCTGTTCACTGGATGGTCCTTAGTTAGGACATACTTTGACCAATATTCCTTTCCCTGAACTTAAGGGTTAAGGATCCTAGGAATCGGTTTTTATCTTACAAACATTCTTGTTTTGTTGACCATTTTTGCTGGTGGTCTAAGTTTTCTCCGACCTGTGTGTTTTCCTATATTGGTTGTTATTTTGCCCTGCAAATTATTGTTGAAGCTTATCATTCTTTCAGAATAGTAGCTTCCTCTTATGCTCGATTCACATTGCAGTAACTTGGGATCTGACTTGTGAGACCCCAAGTCACATGACATGTGAAATCCCATGTTAGTCACTGAGAGCTGTCTTAATTAGCACTACTGAAGTCGCTCTGACTTTAGAAAAGGTTCCTGTACTACTTCAAGGTGACTTCTATCCAGGGGCGGACTGACCATTTGGAAGCTTGGGCACTGCCCGAGGGCCCGTGGTCAGTAGGGGGCCCCATGAGATGCCCCTGGTACCTTTTTCATAGGCTTTTTTGAGAGTTTGGGCAAGGACACAGGGGCCCCATGATCCCCTATTGCCCGGGGGCCCCATGAGTTGTCAGTCCACCCCTGCTTCTATCTGACTTGTGGCCCTAGATTTTAATGGAAGTCACCTCCAAGTCAGATCCTCATCTATATTGATGGGATTTGGATCCGAGATTACAGAAAGATTACCCAGGCATTCACTGAAAGTTGCTTCAGAGTTGCTTCAAAGTAGTACTCAAGTTGCTTGGCAAAGTTGCTCTGTATGTCAGGCGACTTTCAGGTTGTAGTAGTGTGAACTGAGACTTAGTATTATTACCTGCCCTGCTGTGGAACGCCAACTTCTTTCTTGTGCCTTTCTTTGTTGGTACCAATCTTCATATTTGCTGTCCCTTTTTTGTCTAGCCTTGTTCAGGATTTCTTCAGATAATTTTAAAATAAACTTTCCACATCCATTGCATTTTTCAGTGGCTGTTGTCTACTTCTCAGTTGCACTGCTTTTGGATCCAATTGTCTAAGAATTACTATCTTCCTGTGTACCTTAATGGACGATGAAGAAAAAAGGATTGTTACTTTTTTTTTTCTTGAAGTCCATTGAGGGTCACAGGTCGCACGCCTCTGTGTTTAATGACTGTACTTACTGTTTGCTCAGAAAGCTGAAACATGACAGGATGTTGAGTAATACAGTAATACAGAGGGTGGTCATCAACATTTGTTTCTGCTTGCCAGTGTCCACCTCCTGAAAGCAACTGCATATAAACCAGTGGCTTAAGAATTACTTTTTTCTGTGTCCCTCAAAAGAATTAAAAATAAAAGATTTTGCAGTAATCGTATTTTACTGTTGTTCAGATAATATAAATACTTTATTGTGCTTAGTCTCACTTTAAGGATAGATATTATTTATCACAGGTACATATGTAACTCACGTAGTGCTTTACATATTTATTATACAATCACATCAGTCCCTGCCATCAAGGAGCTTACAGTCTAAGGTCCCTCACTCACATTCATACATACACATACTAGGACCAATATAGACTGCAGCCAATTAACCTATCAGCATGTCTTTGGTGTGTGGGAGAAAGCCAAAGTACCAGGAAGAAACTCATGCCAACACAGGGAGAACATGCAAACTCTGTGCATGTAATGCCATGGTTGGGATCCAATCTGCTGACCCTAGGGCTAGAGTCATTCCCTGCTGGGCCTTAAGTTTATGGGGGGCATCTCTTAGAAATGTATCTGTGTAGCAGAGTTGCTATCAGAAACCTTCTTGTGATTTATTAGCTGAAGCAGGCATTTTAGCTTCAGTGTTTGTTAAATTAGAAAAAAAAAAAAAAACAAATGTAGCACAGACATTTAAATACATGAATACTGTCAGGGCTCCCAGGTGAGACCAGAGGTGTGTGGCTGACGCAGGGAAACGCAGACCTCAGATATGTTATAAACAATATAATTTATTAACACTAACAATACAAACATAAACGCAGTGCAATACTAAAACATAATACAGTGCAAACAAAAACAAACCAACCACCCACAGATAACAGTACATACAAGCAAGCGTCGTCAGGCAGGCCGGGTCAATATCAATAGGGCAGGAAGGTACAGGGGGAGCAAGCGGAGATTGGTCGGGGTCACAGGCCAGGTTCAGCAGGTAGCAAGCAGCGTAGTACAGAGGGTCAGGCAGAGGGATGGTCAGGGTCACAAAGCCAGGGATCAGAACAGGTAGCAAGCAGCGTGGTACAGAGGGTCAGGCAGAGGGATGGTCAGGAGCGATCCGGGATCAGAGCAGGAGAAGTCAGCAGCGGTTCAGAAACAGGATGCAGGACAGAAACAGGATACAGGGTCCAGGACAAACACAACACCAAGGCAGAGTCTCTGGGTCTGGCCATCCCTTAAATACCCCAGCATAATCAGTTCCAGGTGTTAGCTGGCTGCAAAGTTGAGTCTCTGATTGCTGGGAGCATCCGCTGGCCAGCCCTGGTACTGCAGATCAAAAGGCAGGTGAGTCCCACCATTGCTGGCCAGTCCATTCCTGACAGTACCCCCCCCTCAAGGAGCGGCCTCAGGACGCTCCAAACAGTCCTAGCTGGGAAAAATGTTCCACCGCCCGGGTCTGGTAACTGGCGGGATATCAAAGACTGGCACACCGGGCAGGACTCCGGGCAGAGGCACACCGGGCAGAGGCACACCGGGCTGGACTCCGGGCAGAGGCACACCGGGCTGGACTCCGGGCAGAGGCACACCGGGCTGGACTCCGGGCAGAGGCACACCGGGCTAGACTCCGGGCAGAGGCACATCGGGCTGGACTCCGGGCAGAGGCACATCGGGCTGGACTCCGGGCAGAGGCACACCGGGCAGAGGCACATCGGGCTGGACTCCGGGCAAAGGCACATCGGGCTGGACTCCGGGCAGAGGCACATCGGGCTGGACTCCGGGCAGAGGCACATCGGGCAGGACTCCGGGCAGAGGCACATCGGGCAGGACTCCGGGCAGAGGCACATCGGGCTACCAGGAGAAGCAGCAGGCAGCGGGCCACCGGGCGGAGCGGCAGGCACCAGGCCCCCGGGCGGAGCGGCAGGCACCGGGCCCCCGGGCGGAGGAGCGGCAGGCACCGGGCCCCCGGGCGGGGCGGCAGGCACCGGGCCCCCGGGCGGGGCGATAGGCATCGGGCCCCCAGGCGGGGCGGCGGGGGCGCCGGACCCCCAGGCGGGGCTACAGGTCTCGGGCCCTCAGGCGGAGCGGCAGGCACCAGGCCCCCGGGCGGGGCGACAGGCACCGGCCCCCGGGCGGGGCGACAGGCACCGGGCCCCCGGGCGGGGCGACAGGCACCGGGCCCCCGGGCGGGGCGACAGGCCTTGGGCCCCCGGGCAGGGCGACAGGCCTCGGGCCCCCGGGCGGCGCGACAGGCCTCGGGCCCCTGGGCGGAGCGGCGGGCGCCGGACCCCCAGATGGAGTGACAGGTCTCTGGCCCTCAGACGGAGCGGCCCCCGGGCGGAGCGGCAGGCACCGGGCCCCCGGGCGGAGCGGCAGGCACCGGGCCCCCGGGCGGGGCGGCAGGCACCGGGGGCCCCCGGGCGGGGCGGCAGGCACCGGGCCCCCGGGCGGGGCGATAGGCATCGGGCCCCCAGGCGGGGCGACAGGCATCGGACCCCCAGATGGAGTGACAGGTCTCTGGCCCTCAGACGGAGCGGCGGGCGCCGGACCCCCAGATGGAGCGACAGGTCTCGGGCCCTCAGGCGGAGCGGCGGGCGCCGGACCCCCAGATGGAGCGACAGGTCTCGGGCCCTCAGGCGGAGCGGCAGGCGCCGGACCCCCAGATCGAGCGACAGGTCTCGGGCCCTCAGGCGGAGCAACAGGTCTCGGGCCCCCAGGCGAAGCGGCGGGCACCGAGTCACCAGGCACGACAGTGGGCACCGAGTCGTCTGGCAAGACTGCGGGCATCGAGTCAACTGGCGGAACAGCGGGCACCGAGTCGTCTGGCAAGACTGCGGGCACCGAGTCGTCTGGCAAGACTGCGGGCACCGAGTCGTCTGGCAAGACTGCGGGCACCGAGTCAACTGGCGGAACAGCGGGCACCGAGTCAACTGGCGGAACAGCGGGCACCGAGTCAACTGGCAAGACTGCGGGCACCGAGTCGTCTGGCAAGACTGCGGGCACCGAGTCGTCTGGCAAGACTGCGGGCACCAAGTCGTCTGGCAAGACTGCGGGCACCGAGTCGTTTGGCAAGACTGCGGGCACCGAGTCAACTGGCGGGACTGCGGGCACCGAGTCGTCTGGCGGGACTGCGGGCACCGAGTCGTCTGGCAAGACTGCGGGCACCGAGTCGTCTGGCGGGACTGCGGGCACCGAGTCAACTGGCGGGACTGCGGGCACCGAGTCGTCTGGCAAGACTGCGGGCACCGAGTCGTCTGGCGGAAGCGGGGCACCGAGTCGTCTGGCAAGACAGTGGGCTCCGAGTCAATAGGCACGACAGTGGGCACCGGGTCATCAGGTATCGGATTGTCTGGCTCGACAGCGGGCATCGGGTCACCAGGTATGACAGCGGGCACTGGGTCACCAGGCATCAGGTCATTTGGCTGCCAGCGGGCACCGCGTCATCTGGCAAGGCAGTGGGCACCGGGTCACCAGGTATGACAGCGGGCTCTGAGTCAATTGGCACGACAGCGGGCACTGGATCAGGTACCGGATCATCTGGATCAACAGCGGGCATCGAGTCAACTGGCCTAATAGGATCTCGGGCTGGATCAGTTCATCATGCTGAGTAGCGGCATCAGGCTGAATGCAGGCATCAGGCTGAAGAGAGGCATCAGGCTGAAGAGAGGCATCAGGCTGAAGAGAGGCATCAGGCTGAAGAGAGGCATCAGGCTGAGTAGAGGCTTCAGGCTGAACCACGGAAGGCAGGTTCACCGGTTTGGATACTGGCAGGATGGTATTGGTTGGAAAGAATTTTCGCTTTTTTTCTGGTTTTAACTACTGGAGCACTGCAAGTAAACGCAGGTCTGCAAACGAATGGAGCAGCTGGAGACAGAGAAGAACTGGAGGATGGAACAGGAGAGGGAGCAGTTGCTACAGAGGGCTTTTTTACAGGGTTAAAGGCAGGATAGGTGCAGCGAGTGGGAACAGGGTACTGACATGCGGTAGATAGCCAAGTATACTGGGCTGTAACTGGAGGAGCTGGTGGGAATACAGGAGTAGAGTTAGAAGCAGGACTGGGTTTTTGTAAGCTGACTGGGGCTGGGTGCAACAAGTCTGTCCATGTCTGCAGTAGGGGTTGAACAAAGCTGAGCTTACACAAAGCCTGTCTGGTCAATGACTGCACTGCGTTTATACAATCTCTTAGTGTCTGTGGTGAACATGTGGAATAACGCTCCAGAAAGTAACCCACATCATCCTCTAATAACCACACCAGGGACTCTACCTGGTCTGCACTAAATGGTGGCAAAAATTCATCCCTGCATTCGGGGGAACCAGATGAAACCAACTCAGCACAAACCTCAATCAAAGGCTGCACCTCAGAGAACTCTGTGCCCTGATCTACTAGAACATGAGCGAGCCGTATACATTCTAGTAGTTGATCCCTGGGATACTCCTTCAGAGTTTGATAAGCATACTCCCTGTCATCAAACACTAGCAGATATAAATACACAACCTCATCCAGATCCATCCTTCCCAGCAACAAGCCAAGATGGCTTCCCTGTGCAGCCACTTCTGGTCAGGATTGGCCTTGGTGTAATGTCAGGGCTCCCAGGTGAGACCAGAGGTGTGTGGCTGACGCAGGGAAACGCAGACCTCAGATATGTTATAAACAATATAATTTATTAACACTAACAATACAAACATAAATGCAGTGCAATACTAAAACATAATACAGTGCAAACAAACCAAAACCAACCACCCACAGATAACAGTACATACAAGCAAGCGTCGTCAGGCAGGCCGGGTCAATATCAATAGGGCAGGAAGGTACAGGGGGAGCAAGCGGAGATTGGTCGGGGTCACAGGCCAGGTTCAGCAGGTAGCAAGCAGCGTAGTACAGAGGGTCAGGCAGAGGGATGGTCAGGGTCACAAGCCAGGGATCAGAACAGGTAGCAAGCAGCGTGGTACAGAGGGTCAGGCAGAGGGATGGTCAGGAGCGAGCCGGGATCAGAGCAGGAGAAGTCAGCAGCGGTTCAGAAACAGGATGCAGGACAGAAACAGGATACAGGGCCCAGGACAAACACAACACCAAGGCAGAGTCTCTGGGTCTGGCCATCCCTTAAATACCCCAGCATAATCAGTTCCAGGTGTTAGCTGGCTGCAAAGTTGAGTCTCTGATTGCTGGGAGCATCCGCTGGCCAGCCCTGGTACTGCAGATCAAAAGGCAGGTGAGTCCCACCATTGCTGGCCAGTCCATTCCTGACAAATACATTATCCCTGGCCACTGACCACTGACCACCAATGATTGTGGTATTTCTTTTTATTTTACATTAGGGCTTTAAAGTGCCACTGAATAATAGTGATTGTGAGACCTTTTTTTAAAAGTAAAGAAATAAAAGTTAAAAGTAAGCAAATTAAATGCAACCAGGCAGAAGCTCACTCTGTTTAAAAAACGTATATACAATTTATTTTGGTACTGTTTTGATTGACTGAGCAATGGAAGTGAACTTTCTGAGGAGCAGAAAAGAGAAATATTAAAACAAGGTCTGGGTCAAGCTGAGTGAGAGGAAAGCACCATAGAGGAAAAGTGAAATTGGTCTCAAATCAACTTTGTACTTAATGAAGACAAGCAAGAGCTCCACCCTGGTGAAAACCGCATACTCAGGAGTCGACATGCAGAATCATTGGCAGTGAGAAAGCTCACAAGTAAGGCTAGACAGGGAAAACTCTTTTCTAAATTTCTGGGGTGGTCCAACTGACAGAACCAGGTTTAAACCCCGCTGATTCATTCTGAAATATACAGGAAGAACACATGCTTGCAACACCTTGAGCAAAGGCCTCCACTAAGGAGTGAGGGGAAGACCCTTTATAGTAATTTATGAAGCTGACTGAAGAAGTCAGGTTTGTCCCACAAAGTACAGCTCGGAAAAGAATCCTGGTTTTCCACCAAGCAAATAAAAAATTCAAGTGGGGAGGTGAGCTTTACACAAGTCAGTCCCTGAGCCACAAGGGTGTATGTTTGCATGAACTCAACCCACAAAGTCTAGAGATCCCTGAGACTGGAGACAATCAAAGTTCAAGTTGAACCCTGAGACTAGGAGGGTCACAAGTGGCTCATATTTGTTAGAAGCACCAAGGCATTGAGTGGAAGGTATTCTGTATGCATTCAGGGCCAAAATATCAAACAAATCTGTTAGGTTCTGCCAAGGTGCACTAGAGATAATACTAATACTGGTTTGTACCATGCTGCCAGAATGGGGAACAGCAATGATCTGGGGGACTGTTAAGGGCTAGCACGTTGGGAAGACCTGAGGTGCAATGGAGAGGTCCATGGAAGGACCACGCTTAGATAAAAGACAGCAAGGTCACAACAAAAAGATGCAGGAAGCATAGGTATACCTGGAAAAATGGGACAGACAGTAGGCATTCCACAAGCTCCACAGAGGTCAGAAGGTCCCCATGAAGGGAGGGAAGACCAGCTTCTTAGTCATGATCCCAGGGAAGAGAAATTACATACATTGCAGTACATAGGACTGCCAAACCATGGTGACCGAGTCCCAATGTCTGAAAAGCTTGGCTCAGTATTAGGAAGAAGCCTACCAAGGACTCAGTCTGGCCCTGAGCAAATAATTCTAGTCTAGAAATTACTCCCATAGACTGATCCTCCCTGCATGCCTATGCCTCCATATGAATTGGGGACACTTCCTCATCTAGATTTTGGAGGACAGGGAGAAGCTGATTGATCCAATCAATCAGTCAATTAATCAATCAATCAATCAATCAATCAGAGTTGGACCATAACATGCAAACAGAGCTAGCCAACAGTAAATATAAATATATATGTAAAGATATACTGCATATTACTATTATTACTATACAGGATTTATATAGTGCCAACAGTTTATGCAGCGCTTTACAATGTAAAGGGGGACAGTACAATTACAATACAGTTCAATGCAGAGGGAATAGGAGAGCCCTGCTCATGGAGCTTACAATCTAGAGGGAGGGAGAGGTGGTACAATAGTTAACAGCTGCAGGGAATGATCTGATGGAAGCGACTCAAG